TCTCTCTCTCTCTCTCTCTCTCTCTCTCTCTCTCTCTCTCTCTCTCTCTCTCTCTCTCTCTCTCTCTCTCTCTCTCTCTCTCTCTCTCAGAGTATACACACACATACGTACACATGCACATACACATGTATGTGCGTCATACACATACACAGGGGTATCGCTAACTCTGGGCGATGTGGTGAGTCCTTATCCGTCAGTCAAATGCATCCTGGGCAGACTGTCTGTCCAGGTTCAACCTCCTGATGAGTCGGTGAAAGTCCGACGAAACAGTCTGTTTGGCACAGTCATGCTTTTTTTTGAGTATACACTGTACACTGTATAGCGAATATGACAACACACACACACACACACACACCATATGAACGTTCCGAATGGACGAGGGGAGTGTTTCATGTTGGGGTTCTTTCTTTTTGAGAAGTGAGACCAGATTCAGCACTCAATCAATCAATGAAAATCTCTGTACTCTGGTTCTCTCTTTTTTCTGTTGTCAGACTTGAGCCCACATTCCTGACTGAAGTCCATCAAAATGTGTACAGTGAGCCAGCCACACAAGCGTAAGCATCGCAGACTTGCTTGTCTTTGTTTCCTTTCTTTTTCTTTTCTTTAGACTTGCATTCACACATATGAGTAGCGCTCACGCTTGCATTCACAAATGGGTACATAATATTTATCAATAGATATTCTTTGAATCTCATTCACATGAGCTTACAACACAAGCACTGCAAACTTGCCCTCACATAATGTACAAGTAATGTCGAGTATATATTATTAATTTATTATATTATTATAATATTATTATTACATAATATTCACAATTTCATATTTTTGCAAGTAAGAAATATCGACGGTAACGATTTGTAAAAAAAAAAAGAAGAAGTGTCACACATAAGTAACGCTTACGGCGTCACGCTTGCATCCGTAACTGAGCTACGGAGCCCGGATCCATAAATGAGCTACGGAGCCCGGTTAATGCTCTCTCGTCTCAAATGCAGGGAGGAGCAAAGAGAGGGAAGAGACTTTTTGTCAGGTCTTAGGTCTATGTTTTCTCATCTTAATCTCAAATAGTAAGCACAATACAGAATACAATACAGTTAAATACACACTATTACACACTTTCTTATTTAAAAAAAAAAAAAGGAATTGGTCACAGAATTTCTTATTAAAAAAAGAAAAAAAAAAAAGGAATTGATCACAGAGCAAAGACTAGGGAAAGACTACTCTTGGGTTTTGGATAAACTATAACAAACTGGTTTTCCGTTTTTTTTTTTTTTTACTTTTTTTTTGTGAAAGAATTACAAACTTCGGAGAAGAGAAGCATGCCAATGAGAGTTCGAGAAGAAATGTCCACTTGGGGGTAAAACACTTTTTTGTTTAAAGGGCGGAAGCCTTGAGATGTTAAGATTGAACTGACCTGCCCCATGTGTGTAAATCAGAATGATCTTTTTTTTTTTTTTTTTTTTCTGTTCATCTGATTGCAGCTGGATTTCCGGAGTTGGGTCTGTGTTTTTTTTTTTTAACTTCTAAGTTTTAACAGTTCATGGGTGTACCAACTGAGAAAGGCCCATCGGTCTCTTGGTGTGGCATACTGCACGGCCACACGGGCCTGCAGGGACCGACCAGACGGAAATCCAGGGCCTTACAGGCCCTGTGTCGTTTCAGCCTAAGAGCCTGAAAACAAGGGCCTACATGCCCTGTGTCGTTTCAGCCTAAAAGCCCGAAAACGAGGGCTTACAGGTCCTGTGTCGTTTCAGCCTAAAAGCCTGAAAACGAGGGCCTACAGGCCCCGTGTCGTTTCAGCCTAAAAGCCTGGAAACGACGGCCATTTTCAGGCCCTCATAAAGTCGACCTTCCCTGAAACTTAGGCACCAGACCAGGGTTTTTTTTTTTTTTTTTTCATAAAAATTTGGACCATTTCTCGATTTATGCGTGTCATCCTTGCGCAGGGGCCATGCTAATCTTCTCTGTATCGTTCCAATTTTAACGGATGTCCCGAAGGACGCCAGACCAGGGTTTTTAACTTTTAGCACAGGCCATTTTGGGCCTGTTTTCAGACCAGGGTTCTAAACTTTTAGCACAGGCCAATTTGGGCCTGTTTTCAAGACAACCTTTGTTTGAACTTCAACACCAGGGTCTGGCACGTTTTGGCATTGGCAAGAGCAGCCTCCGGGACGGGCCGGCACTATATAAGACTGGCCCGCCCTGCAGGCTGCAGGTAATTGATAGGGACTTCCCGGGCACTTCACGTGCAGGAGGCAGGAGGCAGTCTTCAGGATTCGGCAGCAGCACTCTGGAGGAGCGCTGCAGTAGTAGTAGTAGCGTTAGCAGTAGTCTTCAGCGCTGGGCGCTCTTAGGAGCTAGAATAGCGTTGGAGAGAGAGAGAGAGAGATGGTTGGCGGAGGCCTGGGGACTTACCTGTGGCGCCATAGCTCCAGCTTCGTCTTCGATGTACCTGCAACAAGGTGCCACCTTCACAGGTTAGTACCGGACTGTGTGTGTGTGTGTGTGTGTGAGAGAGAGAGAGAGAGAGAGAGAGAGAGAGAGAGAGAGAGAGAGAGAGAGAGAGAGAGAGAGAGAGAGAGAGAGAGAGAGAGAGAGTTCTTCTTCTTCCTCTTCTAAGTCCACGATCTCTCCCTCACCCTCTCGCTACCGAACTTCTCAGTATCTGCAGACTACGGGAGAGAGAGAGAGAGATTGGTGACTTTGGGACTTGATGACATTTGGATCCAGACTCCACATTGGGATTGAGACATTGGACAAGGGATTATTTGGGCCTGTACCAAAGACTTGGTGTTGACGACATTCCCATCTTCCCCTCTTCTTCGTCTACCCCCCCCCTTCTTCGTCTGCGTATGGTTGGGGACTGGCGCATTCTTCCTGTGTGAGCGCCAGGCCCCTTCACACCATGGACTGAGGATGATGCATGTTTGGTCTGCATTGCAACATTGATTCTTTGGATCATTGGTATATTAGCCTTCCGCTGCACTATCTTGTACTATGTGAGAGAGGTCGGTTCTTGTTCTGGTCTGCACTTTTACAGTGGGGGGCAAAACATGAAATTCATTAAATTAAATAAATTTGGTATTTTCAACTATTTTGTGGGAGCCTTGCAGCAAAGATTCGGATGGTTTAAAAAATAATAATAATAATAATAATAATAATAATAATAATAATAATAATAATAATAAAAGATTCGGATGGCAGGCCCTGAGGCTCCCACGTAGTATGTACCCTTCTTCTGCTTTTTGTTTTTAAGAAAGGGATAAAAAAGACAAAAAAGGAGAGAAAAAAAAAAGAAAAAGAGAAAAAGAAAAAGAAAAAGGAAAAGGAAAAGAAAAACACCTGCAACCTAGCTCAGTCGGTACACCGCTGAATTGTTGAAATACAGACCTCAGTTCAAATCCGGACGGCAATAGATGGATCATGGATGGAGTGTTTTCATGAATTACCCACGGGTCAGTCAGTCCAAACCTAGGCTACCAGAGTGGCCCGGGGTCACTTGCCCGGCCGGGCCAAAATAATTAAAAAAAATAAAAATAAATAAAATATTTTTGAATTTTAATTTTTATTTTAAATTTGGTGAAGAATTTCGATGTGACCCTGAGGCAAACGTTGTTCAGTTTATTTTTCTGCATAACATAGTTTTTTTTCAGAATTTTTGGATTTGTTTTTTTTGTTTTTTTTCTTTGCTGGGACCTTACCTGATCCTTGCACGGGCTGGCCACCCAGGACCCGGGCGGCCCGGCTGGTAGCCTAGGTCCAAACATGATATCTGAAGGCTGTCACCTTTTACATGTTTTTCATTTTTTTTTAGTATTAAAAAAAAAAAATCGTTTCTTGTAAAGAAAAAGACCAGAAACTATCTATCAGAAGCTCGGTCGACCCCCTCGCTCCCCCCCCCAAGTCTTTACCCAAAAAAAAAACATCTCAGAGACTCATACCTGTCATTAATAGTGATGAAGAGGCCCCTCGGCCTGCGGAAAAGCAACCCGTATCTCTGACAAGCCAATCCAACCGTTGGTGTGTAAATGATTGGCATCAGATGCTCGATATTCTCCAATAAAACCTCGTAAAAAAGCTTCTCATTCCGGTCCTGCACGGCAAACAGGGCGTATCTTCCATAGGTTCAGCCTCCTGAAGAGTCGGTCGGTGAAACTCCGACGAAACAGTTTGTCACAGCCCCTCGTTTGTTGTCTCTTCTCCCTTTCTCCCTCTCTGCCTACGTTTTACCGCGCAGTTCTGTTTGACGATATATATTGTTACAAAGTTATCAGAGCGCAAAAGCGAAAAGAAAACAGAAAAAAAACAAAGAAAAATAATTTCATTTTTTTATCTTCTTCCTTACAAGACTCCCCCTGTTCAGAACCTATTGCGTACAAGGCCGCCCACGTGGATGTAGGTTGAGCGGCGGCTGCCCCCACCCCCGTGTGTCATATCGACCCGCTTGCACACAGCCAAAGGGCAAAGAGGCAAAGAAAAGAGGAAGGGAACAGCCAAATACAACAAAAGAGGGGGCAACAAGCAACAGCACCAAAAACTGATCCTAGATGACAAGTCCCACATGCACGCACCGCCCCTCCTTCACAGGCCAAACGACAGGACAAGACCACCCAGGAAAAAACTCTTGTCTGCAAAAAAAACGGCCCGTCCCGAATGCCGGTAACCCTGTATACATATATTGTCACATTGTGAATCAGAGCGCAAAAAAGGGAAAAGAAAAAAGGAAAAGGAAAAAAGGGGAAGGGGAAGGAGGTAAGGAAAGCTCCACCTGTTCATAACCTCTTACGTACAAGGCCAGCCACGTGGATGACAGGTTGAGCGCCGGCTGCCCCCATCCCCGTGTGTCACAAGGACCCACTTGCACGCAGCCAAAAGGCAAACAGGTAAAGAAGGGGAGGAGGAAACCAAACCTGACAGGGAAAGAAAGATAGGGAAAGAAAGATAATCCAATTATC